GGGAGCGAGGTGCCAAGGGATCGCGGGAGGGCGGTGGCCCGGCCGGGACTCGGCGTCCGGACTCCCACGAGCCGTCGGCCCAGATGCCAGTGGGAGTCCCCCGCCAGCGCCCGGCACTGCGGCGCGGGGACTGCGCCAGCCTGGCCGCCAGCGGCAAGGTTAGTGTCCGTCCCAAGGAGATGGCCCAGGAAGGGGCGCCGCGGGGGGCTGCGGCCTCTCTCAGCTCCTGCGCGCGCCGGGGCGAAGGCGGGGTCCGGTGGGTCCTGCCGCCGGCATCTGCCTGAAAGGCGAGAATGACTCTCTTAGCCGCCTCGGCCGGGGTCCTACTTCCCCCACCAGGCCCTGCTGCCCATAGTCCCTGGGGCGCTCACCTTCGCAGTATCCCACCCGCCTCCGGAGTATCCACATGAGCCTTCAAACAGCATTTGTATGTCCCACCCTCCCTGTGCTCTGTTTTCTTGAATTATTGGTCTTCCATCCCCAGCAGCCAAGCTGTATCCTAATGTAGCTCACTTTTTGCTGCAGCAACCTCATCCCTCAGACCATTCAAACAGTGAGCTTGTCAGGAGACCAGCACTTCTGAGGGCTATAACGTGCATTACGTCAAACTAGATGCTTTGAAGAGGGCGAGAAAAAGAATATCAAGAAGTCATAAAGCACCTAACAATGAATTATAAAGCAGTAACTGAAGATACACAAACGATATGCAGAGGATTTTATTTAAACTAATTGTATTTACATTTGTAACATACCTTAATTTCCTTGTGCATTCAATTTCTATATCTCAAGTGCAATTTATGTCATCATTTTTTGAGTATCTAGTATTTGTTACACACTGTGCTAAGTGCTGTGGGGGAAACAGAGAAACTCATTCATCATGGGAATTACCAATAGGGAATATAAACTATAGTACCAAATGGAAACCCTGGTGGTGTAGTGGTTAAGAGCTATGGCTACTAACCAAAAGGTCAGCAGGTTGAATCCACCAGGTGCTCCTTGGAAACCCTATGGGGCAGTTCTGCTCTATCCTATAGGGTTACTATGAGTCGTAATCCACTTGACAACAATGGTTTTGGTTTTGGTTATAGGACTATACACCAGGGCTCTGGTGGTGCAGTGGTTAAGTGCTACAGCTACTAACCAAAAAGTCAGCAGTTTGAATCCACCAGTTGTTCCTTGGAAACCCTATGGGGCAATTCTACTCTATCCAATAGGGTTGCTATGAGTTGGAATTGACTCCATGGCAATGGGTTTGGTATTTTTTTATAGTACTATATATTGCTATCACTTTTAAACATAAAGTGCCAAGTACTATTCTAAACACTTTACATATATTAAGTCATTGATTTTTATACCATCTCTTTGAGGTACTGTATGTTTCTATATTTTGCAGATGAAGAAATTGAGGCACAGAGAGTTTAAACAACTTGCCTAAGGTCACATAACGAAGATGTGGTGGAGGTGAGATTGAAATACGGGTATTCTTAACTTCTGACCCCAAGCTCCTAACCACTGTAGTATACTGCCTCTGTATTAGGCACCATGTAGTAAGAGTTAAAACAAAGTGCTAGGGGAGTGCTGGGAAAAGGAGAGAGACTGCTAGCCCTTAATATATGGAGTTCTAAAATTAGTACTTCCTTCTCAGGATCTCTGTTTTCACCTTGTTGAGAAACTAACGTTAAAGAGCAGCTTTCCATATATCCTGGGGGTCACCTAAGTTCTTTAGACTTATACCAACAATTCTGCAGACAGGGTTCTCTGAGTTGTTTTTAGTGCATGTTTTATTTCTAGGCTGTTTGACAAACTTATATGGAAAAGGAGGAAGATAGTAATAACACCATAAAAATCTCTGTTGGTTAATTCATTTCTTCATTTAAAAGAAATGTGAATTGTGTACCTATAATATACCAGGCAATTGGGCTGAGTACTAGAAGGGGTGCAAATAAGAGCAAAAGACAGTATTTTACCTGAAGGAGCTAGACTCTCGTAAAGAGACAAGTATCAACTGAGAACAAGACAGAATACGAGTTATGCTCAATAAAAAATCAAACCCATTGCCATTGAGTTGATTCTGACTCATAGTGGCCCTATAGGATGGAGCAGAATGCCCCATCACGCTTCCAAGGCTGTAATCTTTACAGAAGCAGACTGCCACATCTTTCTCCTGTGGAGTGGGTTCGAACCACTGACCTTTCGTTTAGCTTAACCACTGCACTATCAGGGTGCCTTATTTATGCTCAATAGAGGAATGAAATACAATGAAAAATCTGAGGAAGGAGAGACAGATTGCTTCACAGAGAGAGGTGCTTGGGTTAGGGAAAATGTGTAATGATCATTTAACTTACGGTTGATGTTAAATAATTAAAAATAATATAAAAATTTATAAAATTCCTCTATTGTTTAAATTACATGTAAAAGTCTTCACATGCACAGAAAAGGCAGCTTTTTGTTGTGCAAACAGTGTTAAAGGAATTGTTTGGAATATGGAGAAGTTAGTAAGTGCAAACTTTTTGGAGATGATTTACCTAACCTCCCCAGGTGAGGGACACAAGGATGAGGCATGAGATAAAACTTTCATGGTTAAAGGAATAGCATCAAAAACAAAAAACAAGATGGAAGTGAACAAGGTAGGTCTGGGGGCAGCCGGACTCTGACTGGACAGGACCAAAGGGTTGCTAAAGAGTAGCCTGTACCACAGTGAACTGCCCTTGCAAGGTAGAAACTGTGTGTTTTCAACTTTTTCTTACATATCCTTTAGTTTGGGCAAACATACGCCCCGTATTTTCTGGATGGTTCTGAGCTTAGATATTTGATTCCATTATGCTCATAAGTGCTTATCAATAAGATTGACAAATTTGATCACCATATCTACATTAGTGTCTAGAAAGTGGACAACTTTGTTTAATAAGGAGGTGGGGAAGACAAGAAGGGGCTATTTGATAAGAAGTGCTAAGTGCTTAGATGTTTTAATATGGTAGATAATAGGGGTCCCCTATAGGTTTTTGAGCAGAGTAGTAGCATGTTAAAGACCACCCTAAGCATTTAGAAATATTATCTTTTAATAAAGGACCAAACGAGAGTGTGTATGATCACTTATCAGTAGTTTAAACAACATTTTAAAATATAAACATGAAAATAAGGGTAATTTCTCTTAGACCTCAGACAAAAACCTGTTGAGATATTAAAGAGGCTGTGAGGAAAAAAAGGAGCCCTCGTGGCACAGTGGTTAAAGCATGCAGCTGCTAACTGAAAGGTGGTGGTTCGAAACCACCAGCTGCTCCACAGGAGAAGGATGTGGCAGTCTACTTCTGTAAAGATTACAGTCTTCTACTCTGTCCTGTAGGGTCGCTGTGAGTTGGAATCGACTTGACGGCAACGGGTTTTTTTTGTGGCAGTCTACTTCTGTAAAGATTACAGCCTTCTACTCTGTCCTGTAGGGTCGCTGTGAGTTGGAATTGACTTGACGGCAGCGGGTTTTGGTGGGGAGAAAAAAGAATCAGAATGCCACTGAACCTTGTTTTGTCCTTCTCATATACTGATGATGACCTCATGTAGAAGAATATCAGTGCAAACTTTTTGCTCATGATATGAACCTCTCAAGGTGGCTGCTCAGCACACAATTTCACTTTCCCTGTGAATGTCTCCAATGCACAGTGACAAGGCCCTGGTGGCCTTCTGAGACTTAGGCAGCTTGCCCCCTGGCTGTTGCCAGTTGATCTAGAGGCAGATGTCCAGCTTAAATTGTCCAATCACAGTCTCTCTCCCAGAAATTAGAAACTCAGAATAGAGCAGCACAGAACCTGGGAATTGCTGAACCCAAGTCTGAGAATGTGCCCTGAAGAGAAGATCCACCCACTGCTGCTGCTCGGACCTCAGAGCTTCATGGGTCCCTGCTTCCTGAATATTTGTTCTTCGTCTCTTACTTCTACCCCTTCTCCTTATGCTTCAGCCACCCTATGGGTTTCCATTGCTGATACCCAAAGGAATCTTAGTAGCATTCAGCACAGGGCTGAACTGAGGCCATCAGACTGTACAGATGAGAAATCGGGCTAAATTGGAATCTCCTGGTGTGGTGAACAGCTAAAATGATGTTGACATCTAATCAGAGCTTGTATCTTCATGGCAACAATCCCTTAATACCCATTCCACCCCAGAAACATGAGCCCTGGGCTGCTTCTTTACTAGAATTGGCATTTGATGATCTTGAATATGAGACTGGTATGGTGAACATCAAGGAATCACAGATTTCATTAAAAAGTTCAGGGTTTTCCACTTGGAAATCTTTCTTTATTCTAAAAAGTACAGGTAATAGGTCTTATCTATATCCACTCATCTTCTCCTTTCCTAAAGTCTCAGAGGGCAAGGAAGCCCTCCTTATGTTATCAACTTCTCAAACTGATGAACTTCTCCAGATGTGCCCCGATCCCATTTCCTTTTGCTTCTCCCTTTGCTTCATCTGTTATCCTGAACCCTAACTTTCTCTCCTTTCTTACTTGCTTTTTTCTTCAGCCTATAAGTAGACTCAAGTTTCTCTTATCCTAAGAAACTCCTCCATTAACTTCTTGTCCTATTCAGACTACTTCCTAATCCATTTTCCACTTAAAAAAAAAAAATTAAACTTTATTTCTTAGAACAGTTTTAGATTTATAGAAAAATTGCAAAGATAGTACAGATAATTCCCATAAAGGCCAATCCAGTGTTTCCTATTATTGACATCTTACATTAGTATGGTTCGTTTGTTATAATTAATGAACCAGTATTGATACATTGTTGTTATTATTGTTAGGTGCCATCAAGTGGGTTCCAACTCATAGCGACCCTGTGTACAGCAGAGTGAAACACTGCCTGGTCCTGCGCCAGCCTCATGATCATTGCTATGCTTGAGCCCATTTTTTTCAGCCACTGTGTTAATCCATCTCATTGAGGATCTTCCCCTTTTTTGCTGACTCTCTACTTTACCAAGCATGATGTCCTTCTCCAGGGACTGGCCCCTGCTGATAACGTGTCCAGACACGTGAGATGAAGTCTCGCCATCATTGCTTCTAAGGAGCATTTTGGCTGTACTACTTCCAAGACAGATTTGTTTGTTCTTCTGGCAGTCCATGGTATATTCAATATTCTTCACCAACACCATAATTTAAAGGCATCAATTCTTCTTCTGTCTTTCTTATTTATTGTCCAACTTTCCCATGCATATGAGGCAATTGCAAATACCATGGCTTGGGTAAGGTGCACCTTAGTTCTTAAAGTGACATCTTTGCTTTTTAACACTACAGAGAGGTCTTTTGCAGCACATTTGCCCAATGCAATATGCTGTTTGATTTCTTGACTGCTGCTTCCATGGGCATTGATTGTGGATCCAAGTAAAATGAAATCCTTGACAACTTCAATATTTTCTCCATTTATCATGATGTTGCTTATTGGTCCAGTTGTGAGGATTTCTGTTTTCTTCATCTTGAGGTGCAATCCATACCGAAGGCCGTAGTCTTTGATCTTCATCAGTAAGTGCTTCAAGTCCTCTTCACTTTCAGCAAGCAAGATTGTGTTGTCTGCATATTGCAGGTTGTTAATGAGTCTTCCT